TGTTTAAGGGGCGAAATGGAGAGTGCGAATACAACTTTCTCAGCCAGTGCTATAAGGAATGGTTTGTGCAAATCAGAACAGGGACCGTTATTTTAAGGGTTTATTGGAAGGTTGGGGGAAATGGGGGCTGCCTGTTTCTGCTCTGGGTTGGCAACTCTTGTAGAGTTCAGTGTGTGGCTTGGCTGTGCAGTCCATCTGCTTGTGTAGACGTGCATGGGGTGTCCCATGGATGGCCAGGAGTTCTTGTTGAGCTTCAGCCAAAGTGCATAAAGGGCTAAGGAATGCAATATTCTTGTAGTCAGTCAGAACCCTAGAGCTGTGATTCAGGCTGTCCAGATACTCTGTGCAGAAATGGCCATGCTGGTTGAAGGTGTTACCTCTCCCTTTGTGCTTGAAGGCGCCTCACAATGTACGTTGGCTGAGCAGCTTACATGAACATTACTCATGTGTTCTCTGGCAAAGTTGTCCAGTTTAGGAGGGAAGAACTGATAACCTCTTCCTTTCAGATATCCCAGCCTCATTGTCTGCTACTGCATGCTGTCAGGAGCCAAACTGCCATCACCTGAAGCAGATGAGGACCGTTTTCAGTTGTGTGGCAGAGACAGTAACCACCACCACTGGGCTCTGTAGACAAAGGTGATGACCACTAACCATGTAAATGGCAGCAGTCTTTATGTTGCAAGCAACCTCAGCTTGGAGAGGCTGTGAAATAGAAGTAAAGCAGTGAAATCTTCACAGAATATACTGTATAGCTTGGATAAACTCTAGGCTACAGGTACCTCTTCTTATATGCTGTCATGTTCGTGTTAGAAAGCATTTGTAAAATGGTCAGAGTTCACCTATGCAGCTTTATAGGACAGGGTAGTAGAGAAACACATATCCAGTGGGCTTGACTCTTGGCTTGTCTGAGTCAGTTCTGCCTGAGTAATTCAGTGAGTTGAGTAGCTTGTCTTGAGTTTACTTTGCAAGCAGCAGCAACAGAATTAAGAATTAAAACTTAGATCAGCAGCCTGGTATCGTTGCTCAGGCTTGGAGACAGTAGGAAAGGAGCTGAAGGGATCCCTACCTATCAGGAATTTCCCTATCGGAAATTAATGGGGAAGATTCCTGGTCAGTGGGAGTTGAGGCAAAGAAAGATTGATTCGAGATCCTTTGTCTCCCAGGGTGTTCATCTAGGCTCAGAGAGACTGCTGGAAGGAAGAGATTTTGACACAAAAATCTCATTTCTGTTTGCTGTATCATTAGACACCCCTCAATTAATAAAGACTAATATTGATTAATGAGAAAATCACTGTTTTTGTGTGGAAGAAGGCTTCTGGCAGTCTCCTGTTTGAATACAGGAATAAAAGATGTTGGCACAATAATAAATGGGTATATAAAAGGTTTTGTGTATATTTGATTAGGGAAGTGGAGGGAGGGAAGTGTGTATATTAATTTAGGTTTTAAACAGCAGGAAGCATCAAGACCCTTTGGGATGTGATACAGGGTGTCACTAAATTTCAGTACCAAGCCTTTTTGAGTCTGTCAATTCTGAACTGTCTTGTCTCCATTGTCATTTTAATGTGAGAGAGCAAGCCTCAATTTACATCCCCCCTCCTTTTTTTTTTCCCTCTAGTGAATACCTAATCATCACGGTGATTTTTGACTGGGTATTGACTGTGAGACTCGCTGGCCTAATTTTTCTTGCTAGCTATAACAGCAATAAATGGTGACTTGCTTGATTTATTTATTTTTTAAGCTGAGCTGTGCAGGGTGTTCAGAGATGCAGATGGTTTTTGGGTCGAGTACCAGTCACCCAACACCCGGGGCTTCTCCTTGAGGTTCACACACAAAGTGATGGGTCAAAAAGCTAAAGGTCCGTTCCCCTTTGAGATACTAATTCCCTCACAATCATTTCATGTTCATGATTGCATCATGTTAAACTGAGGTGAAGTAAAGGATTTTTCCTTCCCCCCCAGCTGAGTTTGACTGGCCCAACTTCTGAGCTGGGGCTGGTGCCGTGGCCGAGGCGAATCCCTTCCTTTGTTCTCTGGGCCTGCTGCTGCTGCTGACAAACTGGTCGGCGCATGGCATGATGTCTTATTACATTTTTGATGCAGACTGCAAAGAAACGGGTAAACTCACCATGGTTACGGCTCTGTCAGCGGCAGGGCCGGCGCTCCCAGCGAGGCCT